GCAGCGGGCGCTCCTCTTAGCATTCGGGCTGAGAATGGCGCTGTGACCGAGGAAGAGGCGAATGAGTTCCACTGTGGACATCTTGTTGCGCACAGCGTAGACCAGTGGGGTGTAGCCCAGCCGGTCCGGCTGGTTCGCATTGGCCCCATTCTTCAGCATAAACTCGCAGGCCTCGAAGTTGCTGTGGGCAGCAGCAATGTGCAGCGGGGTCTGGTGTTCGTTATCGAAAAACTGTGGGTAGGAGGAGGAAGGGAGAGAGATATATTGGAGTATCGGCATACCAAAAGATATAATTCTAACCAACCAAAATTCTTTGGGAAAAGAATAACGCTCATTGTGTAAATTTTCGAAACTGATCCCCCAGCTCGTCATCAGACAAATGAGAGATGTACACTTACCTACAAACTACGTCTAACGCTAGGTTCAATGGCTGGCTATAGTTAAAGCTAATAAGTGTCACCTGCATCAAAGTATCCGGTTCATAGTGGCTGTTTATGCTTCCGTCTAACCTTGATAAATGTTTAACTAGCATCTAACTCAATATGCCGGTTAATGCATGCTTCGTCTCAGTGCACTGACTTGAGGAATTCGGCGAAACATATACACACTTTATTATAAAAGCGGCATTCTATATTTGCCAATAAAATGATCTCCGATTGCCGGGGGTCCGAAAAACGGAGAACACAAGGTGAACAAAAACAATATGCAAGGCCGAAGAACTGTAAACTTCCATATCATAAAGAATTGTGAATGAATGAGTCACAGAAAAACACCTAGTGGCAGTAGCATTTTCCGACTTTAATGGTAGTGTGCCGAGGACTCTGCTCAAAACAAATTGGAGACCATTCATCATTCTCCGTGACTTAGTGATTATGATTGTCACACAATTTTGGTAGTTGTCTTCCAACAAAAGTTGTGGTCTAAAATATATGTCTTATATTTCCTAAAGCAAAATTTCAGTGCCCAAGTACTTTAAAACTATTTTACAATTCCGTTTGCATACTCCTGTTATGGCTCATTTATATTGTCTAGATTGGAGTGATTGCCAGTTTAAAGAACAACAGACAGAGAATAAGCTTTGTTTGGTTTCGAGGGTTGTCATCTTGATAACCCACCCTGCAAACGAAGCTCGCGCTCAGAACTTCTCTACGGTACCTAGTCAGATGATTTGTGGTTTTAAAATGCAAGACGTCACAACTGCTTGTGCTGTTCTGCTGGATTTTCACCAGCCATAAGCGATAACGATGATGCTTCGTTTTCTGTGGTTTAACATAACGCACCTCTAAGCGTCTGAGAGGCTGGTATTGCAAGTAGAAAACCGGCTAATATTGCACTAGTGTCGGCAATTATATGAAATTAACTAAACGGCGTAAAGTTTCACTGAAATTAAAATCAGTGACATGTGTACAGTTTTTAGCAGTTCATTATCACGAATGTTAAGTTACGTAAGTCCTCGGGTTTAGAATACATAGTCATATCTAGTTTAGTATATTATTTCATAGCTATGGAAAATAACCCTCTGTGCGGAATTCATGTAACGAAATGCACGAAATATAAATGTACAGGCCTGACGAGAATTTATCGAAAGTATATGTCCACTCGCCAAACTCGTCTTATGAATTCTTTGATGAGAATTTTTGATACTCGAAATGCAAAAATTTGTATTATTGGTTATTCTTGTTAAAAGTCATTTTACTTACTGATTGGTACTTTTGTACTTATTTTTTTAATAGCATTGTCAATTTCTTTGAACTAGAAGAATAAATTTGGCTGAAATTTACTCATTTGCTTTGCTTTCTTGCACGTATTTCACTGCTTGCCCCTGTTGAAGCCCCATCGTTAAAATTCCCATCCCCGTTTTACAGGATCCTGGGATTAGTGGTGACTACCTTTGCCGAATTTTATGAACAAACTGGAATACGGGTCCTGTATTCAAACCTTGAGTCAGCACTCTCTACAGCAACTTAATCAAATCAACTTAATGTTCTCAGATTTCTTGAAAATAATAAACACACTTGTAAACAAGAGTCAGACGTTTTGATGGAAGCTCACGTTCAGTCTGCGGAACAAGGTTCTAGTGAAACAACCAAAACCAATCTCCACAAAATTCGATTAGTTCGGATACCTAAAAATCAGCAAACTGGGTTTTAAAGAAGTCGCCAGGGTGGCAGTCTGGTCTACCGGATTCTACCTATCACTGACAAAGGGTGAATGGCCAGTGAGGAAACTTGGGTCGAGGCGAGAAAAAGCAGCTCTATGGTAGCGCTCGCAATGAACTAGCAGTTCAGTCATCGAAAATGCCCTATTCTCGAAGAAAAAACTAAATCGTCGCTGGGTTCGATGACCTATAAAATTCTGTGTGATTAAAACTGTCACGTCCATCACGACCATAGGTTCCGATAGAAGCGAATTTGCGAGTTCCAGGAAGCAGTTCAGAAGTAGAAGATGCGATTGCTGGAACATTAAGTTTATATGCTGAACGCTTCGGATTCTGTCGAGAATCCTTACTCATAGGTAACAGTAGACTAGTGTGACACATGCACACATGTACTCCAATCTGTGCATGACCATGACTTATGAATGCGAACGTTGCCAAATGAATAAGGCACATGGGTCCATGGCTATTGCGCCCCTTGGCGCCTTCACCAGCCTTATCTGTTACAGTCTTTGATGGTAGGCACGCGGAGGAAGTAATGGAAGGCTTGCACATTTGCAATCAAGATCTTCTGAGCGAATCTCTGACCGGAAGGAAGGCATGTATTAACTAGAGACAGGCATCTGTTTAAAAGACACTGTGTGCAGTAGCGTGGAGGAATAAACTGACTTACTGTGGCAGATTCGATTAGTAAATCGAACTCTTCTGTCCTTCGGAGAGTCCAAATCACATTCAGGACACTGCAGCGTAAAGTAAACGATCAATCCAAAAATTCTCACTGGTGGCATTCCATCATATTTACTGACAAAATTCAGCAAGCCTGTGATTAAACAGCTACCAATATCGTGATTAGGACAGGATTATTTGCTGCGAAAACCAGAAGGATGGAGAGCACAACTCCCTTTTCGACCCACGATTGCATTAAATTTACGACCACCTGAACTCGGGTACGTACTAGAAAGTTGGTGCCAATGAAGGCACAGAAAGCAAGGTGCATTTCGTTGCATAGGCGCCTTCCGACCGTTCGACCGGCGGTTTCGACGAAATCTATCGTGTGCTCCACAGACGGAATGATGCATGGATGGTGGCGTGTGCTACATCATAGTGAGAGCAGAAGTTCGCCGTATTTTACTCACTCTCTGTTCCATTCTTCCATCTGAACTTGGTGTTAAGAAAAGGTCAAGAAGACCGCAGATGGGAGAGAACGCAGGCCCACGCAATGTGAACCACCACAACCAAGGTTTCAGATGGCTCGGATCCCAGCTAAGTGGGGTGCCATAAAGGCTACATTTAGTAGGAGGCGTGGTTGCCTGATTCTCTGTCCGCCACTCCACACAAACACACACTGGGCTGAGTGCGCAATCCGAGTCATGTCATCAGCTGGCAATCTTCCAATTCACGGCCTTTAGCGTGCCGTGATAGCATCGAGCGCGTCAGATTGTGTATAATGAGATAGTATGCTGAGCTGCCGACCTCCCCATCTCCCCCAGCTCTAGCATCAGGTCACCTTCCAAGCCGATCAATTGTCTGATGCGGAATGAGAGCAGTGGCTAACAGGGCCGGCGAACCCGTCCTTGCGCACAACAGCACGACCTTGCCTCCTTGACGCACATATCAGGTTTACCAAACACAGGCATCGTCTGCAGTCAACGCATCTGCTTCCTTTCAATTACTGCCTGGAACTCGCATTTTGCGTCTCACCTCAAAGGTCCCTGTGACCTTGAAAAGTTGATCCAACTCATCCACCTCATTGGCCGCGGCCGCGGCGCAGAAGAGGAAGGGGAAGAGATGACTAGCCCAGGTGGCGGCCTTTTTGTTCATCTCAGGCTCGGAGAGGTAGGTACCCAGGTAGCCCACCAACTCGGACAA